GAAATACCTTGCCGAACGCGAAGCGCAACAACTCGCCCTACTCCGCCGCCAGGTCGCCGAAGAAGCAGAAGAGGAGGAGAGGCTAGGCAACAAGCTGAGCGAGAGAGAAAGAGCCGAGTTTAAGAAGAATCGTCAGACCCTGGAGCTGGCCGAGGCGCGAAATGCGATTGACGATTCTGGTTCTGGCTTCCAAATTCCCGATGCCGAGTACTCGAATAAAAACGAAGTTCTTACTCGCAGACACAAGGACACAGATGTCGACTACAAGAGCGAGTACGTTTTGTGGGAGGAAACGGCCATGAAGAAGATATCCTCGCAGACCAAGCCTGTTGATGCCCGAGAGCAGGCTGACGACTACGAATTTGTGCTAGATCCAGCACAGGACGTGGTATATGATGGACCTATGGTAGACCTGGAGAAGCAGAGGCTTGAGATGCTCGTGGACGAAGCAGAGAAGCATGCCGCCTCGATCGAGGAAGTTCGCCGTTCTTTACCGGTCTACCAATACAAGGATGAGTTCATCAAAGCTCTACAGACTGAACAGATACTCGTCTTCGTCGGTGAGACTGGAAGCGGAAAGACCACGCAGATCACGCAATTTTTGCGCGATGCTGGGTTCGCGAAGAATGGACGTATAGGCTGTACGCAGCCTAGACGCGTGGCAGCCATGAGTGTTGCCCAACGCGTTGCAGAAGAAGCTGGCGTTCGTCTGGGTAAGGAAGTTGGGTACCAGGTGCGATTTCAAGAGAAGTTCGATGCCGCGACTACTGAGATCGTCTACCTCACGGACGGATTACTCTTGAAGCAATGTCTTACGTCCCCCCTACTTGAGGAGTACTCGGTCATCATACTGGACGAGGCGCACGAAAGGACCATTGCTACCGACGTGCTGATGGTCTTGACACGTGAGATTGCCCGTTGCCGACCAGATTTTCGTCTTGTCATCGCTTCGGCTACCCTGAACGCCCAGTTCTTCTCTGAATACTTCGACAACAGCAATGTGTTACACGTCCCAGGTCGAACATTCCCCGTCCAGAAACTGTACACGTCGTCGCCGGAGGCCAACTATCTGAGCGCGGCCCTAACTACCTTCTGGCAGATTCACGCTTCCCAGCCGCAAGGCGATTGTCTGATCTTTCTTACCGGCGAGGATGAGATCATACAGGCTGCAGAGTCTATCGAGTCTACTGCCAAAAAGCTCGGAAACAGAATGGCACCTGTCGTAGTCGCACCAATTTTCAGTAGCATGGACACAGATTCTCAACAGCGTATCTTCTCGCCAACGCCACAGGGCAGCCGCAAGGTCGTCATTAGTACAAATATCGCAGAAACGTCTTTGACTATAAACGGCATCGTTTATGTGATAGATTCGGGAATGGTCAAACAGAAGCGGTATGACGCAAGACTAGGTACCGAGACCTTATCAGTTGTGCCCACATCTCAATCCAGCTGCAATCAGCGCAGTGGTCGTGCGGGCAGAGTGTCCCCTGGCATTTGCTTCAGGCTGTTTACAAAGTGGTCCTTTTACAACGAACTTCCGCCTTCGACGGAGCCAGAGATCCTACGGTCATGCCTCGATTCAATGATACTGATGATGAAGAGTATGGGAATAAATGACATCCTCAACTTCGATCTGCCTTCAAAGCCTCCACCCGAAGCCATGTGTTTAAGTCTCGAGACGCTTTACGCTCTTCAGTACCTGAACAGTGAAGGACAAATCACGAAATTGGGTCGAAAGGCAAGCGAACTGCCATTGGATCCAAAGCTAGCGAAAGCTCTGCTAGCTGCTGACAGTTTTGGCTGCGTCGACCAGATAGTCACGATTGTTGCTATGGTATCGGAGGGAGGTAACGGGCTGTGGTTCAGTCCGAAAGATAAGAAAGCTGCAGCAGATCTAGCACGGCAGAGATTTGCATCAGAGCACGGGGACATGATCTCACTTCTGAACCTTTGGAACGAGTTCGAGGAGACAGGGTTCAGCAAAAGTTGGTGTCAGGACAATTTCGTTCAGTATCGGACGCTCAACCGCGTGGTCGATGTTCGCGATCAGCTGTTCAGACTTTGTGACAAGGTTGAGATAGAGAGGAGTAGCTGTGGGTCAGCCGATCACGTCAAGATCATGAAGAGTTGGACTTCGGCATACTTCGCCAATACCGCCCGGCTAAACAAGGATGGCATGAGCTATCGCTGCCTTTCCTCGCGCAACCAAGTCTGGATCCACCCATCTTCCTGTCTGAGAGACAAGCGGCCGCGTTTGGTATGCTACTTCGAGCAGGTGGAGACTTCAAAGTCGTGGATGCGTACTGTCGCTCCAATTGAAGCATCATGGCTCAGTGAACTAGCTCCTCACTACTTTAAGAAGGGACAGCTTGACGATCTGGACGTTGGCAAGAAGATGGGCAAGGGTGTTGGGAAGGTAGGTGTTGATCGCTGAATGCAGGTTCAGACAAGAGCTCTCGGATGATTTTGGAAGTACGATAGTGAGAGAGTGGGTATATAGGCTCATAGGCGGCCTTTGTTTCATCATGTATCATATTCAGCGGCATCATCTTCACGTGGCGTCATTCTTGAGCATTCCTGGGTTCTCGCACGCAGCGGTATGTAGAGAGCGAAGATGTTTGAGGCACAACGCCTCGATGTGCGGACGAGGTTTGATTTTCCGAACCGAGTGCTAGGCGTTTTGGAAGGAAAAGACTGGATCAGTGTATTCGATATGATACCCTATTTCCTATTTGCTTGCGTTGGACATTTTCGGCTTTAAGCGTAGCATAATGCATGGAAGACTTTAAGTGCAACAAAATCTACTTCTTGGTGCGGTGAAATGCTATGAACTCTTGTGTGGTTGTAGAGAAGAATAAGTCTTGGGGCGGTTAATATAGGTGGAAACCGGCAGGGAGTACAAAGCATGCGTTCTAAGGTTCTTTATGCTGCATTTCCACGATAAGTAAAAAGTATATGTACGTAGCGAAGCAAGCAGCTGCGAATGCCTTGAAGCGTTGCGATGAGTTGAGGTATGTTTGGCTCTTGGTACGAGAATGCATCGAGGAATTCCGTTTTACTCGAAGATATCAAGTCCACTCGATACCGCCTGGCTAGCCTATGACATTCAGATACTCGACTGCGGCTCACGTAGTATGCTCCAAACAGGTACATTGAAGGAAGTATTCATGCATTAACCTTCGCGGTAGTCTTATTATACACCGCAGATTTGGTTGGAATGCAGCTAGAGACTTCGTCACGACTCATATCGTATGCTTCAAACGGGTATGTTGAAGTGAGTATCGATGCCTTAACCTTCGCGGTAGTCTCAACGCACGCCGCATGTTTGGTCGGAATGCAGCTAGAAACGTTGACATAACCTATACCGTATGCTTCAGACCCATGCATTAGGACGTATACTTCCGTATCTGTGCTAATGTAGTAGGCAAGGTCGACATATTCCAAGCCAATGATGTCCATATTACATCGTCCGATCAACAAGATAACCGCCGGAGACCGGATCAGAACCTGTATTGTGTGCTTTAAGCCTACACATTAGGATGTGTTCTTCCGTATCTACTTCAATGTAGTAGCCCAGGCCGACATGTTCCAAGCCAAGAAAGCCCATAACTTACCGTCTCATCAGCAAGATGGCAGTCAGAAATCGAATCATAACCTGCACCGTGTTCTCCAAAGAGATGTATGGAAGCACATATCTACTTCGTAGTCTTGGAGTAGTCGCCTAGGCCTATCATCGCAGTGCGCACCATAAGGAAGTTGATGGAGGTAAGATGGCAATACCGTTCGCTGAAAGGCTGTTAGAGGCCTCTTGACTGCTTTCGCAGCGTCTTCTCGGTGTTATACGCTATGATTCCGCTGTGTGAGCGATGCGAGTAGGTAAGTGTTTCACGTTTTTACTGCAAAGCAAAGTATCCCCTCGGTGCGAGAGAGCATCGTGTATTGAGCTCACTTTGTGCAGCTACTCCTAATAGCCCTCCTGTTGACGTTGGTGGTGATGCTGGCTGGTATTGCTGGTGTCGTGGTTGAGACGGAAGGGACGACCTCTTGACAGACTCAGAATTTGACATCAATCACACTCTGTTTGGCTAACAGCCCATAGTCAGCTATCATACCTCTGACGGCTTTCCGCAGGTGCTCAGAGACATGCGCTTTTTGGTTGTATGCGACATGGAAGTATGATACGAGGTGTGGCGTTTCTTACGCCCTCGCACGAGCGCCTTGGGGCCTGCGGGATCCTCAATCTCGTTTCCAGAAATCGCGACGCCGCATCCAGTATGCAGGTTGAGTTGATTTCAGCTTTTTGATGCTTTTTGCGATGCGAGTAACGAAGAGAAAGACTTGTCTAGGAGGATATTCGCGTATCATTTGTTATACACTCGTCTGTCTGTGATGTTCTTGTGACTCGAGTTGGTGAAGACGAGGAAGTTGGAACCGGCTTCAGCAAGTCTTCTGATATGGTGGAGCCCTACACTGGCGTACGAGCTGCTACATATACGCTATTGGAGCACTTGTAGTTACCTTGCCGATTGAATGAGATGCCGAAGAATACCTGCTTTGAGGGTATAGTCGGCAGATGCAGAACGCAATTGTCGCGTATACTCAAGACTCGTGCTACCAAACGGGTGCCGACTTGGGCAATTGACCTCGCAAGCTAAATAGTGTAGGAAGGGTTGGTATTGGTGCACGATACGCTGCGCTGTCACCGGCGAAAGATACATGCGCTGGTGATGACACCGCTAGGCCTCGTGTCGGAGATGCAAGTTTCCAGCATGCTGTATAGACTGCGACAACCGCTCACAACAATACCCACTGGCACATTCGACGTGGATGTATTCGGCAAACCTGTTTATCCTACCTTTGAATAAACTCGTAGCTTCTCTATTAGTCGCCTTGCTTATCCCTAGATCTACTATCTTTAGACGGTTTCTAGCATACGAAGTATGTCGAAAAGTTCGTGCACCAGTGCAACCTACACCAGCATATATCTCATACTTCAGAGCTCACTTAGCGCTCTTCAGGAGCTTCTCTAGTTTATACGCCTTTGCGGGATCAACTTGGGCGCATATGCAACCGCCAAATACCGTGCCGTCACGAGCGGCGTTCGTATCCCATATGCTGGCATCCCAAGGCTTGAGGTCGGGTCGCATCTGCCGCAAGAAGATGTACGTGTCCTTGGTAACCTTCTGCCGGAAAGGCATGTCGTTGTACAGTTTCGAAGCGGATACGACTCTGACGTAGTCGTCGGCCCTCGGCTCCAGTTCGGTGTGGTCTTCGTTCTGGGCATTTGAGGAGAGGAGGATAGGCGCGTTGACGGTCCCCATCCGCTGGCGTTTTCGCGGCGGCGCGGGCGACGGGGGAGGAGACGGGGGTTGGATAGGCTCCGTGCCCGCACCGTTTCGGTCTTCGCTATCAGCTTGCACTGATCTTCTGGTCGCCTTCTAGTGCTGGGGCAGGCAGCGTCTCGGGCAATGCAATGCCAGCCCATATTGTGTCGAACGCTCGTAGCCTTTCCTCGGTGGCGTGTAGGCCTCTGAATTTTGTTCCACTGGGACTGGGGACGCTTGCACCTGCCAATGTGGAAGTGCATGTGGCAGAAGTGAACACCAGCGAGGAGACTACAAAGACATCGGCGGCAGTCTTCTGGAATGCGATATGTGTTTACGTTAACTACGTCTATTCTGGAGATGCTACCGACGACTATCGCGGCTTGTTGTAGTAGTCTGGCGTTTCGATTGTTGGCTGCATGACTGTATCCATGGCTGTGTATGCGGCATCTACGTGCGATACCCTCGCCACGAAAGGAGGCAGCTGCGACGGGGAGCGCTCCTTCCCGGAATCCCGATGTCAGTTCCAGCTCTTCAAAACAATCGGGATGCAGACACGTAAAGAGAAAAGGTCCTGAATGTTGATGAGGTTGGTATGCTGTTTTGACTCAGACCTCTTGAGCTTACTTCCCGATGAATCTTCCTCTGCCAAGGTAGGTATCTCTGGCCGATACAAGATGTCCAAATGAGACTGGATAAACCTCCGTCGCACGCAACGGCGTCTCCTTGGATCATGGTTGGGTCACCGGAAAATGACAATCTGACCCCGGCTGTAAGATGGTGGTATGGTAGAAGCGGCAGGCACAGGTGCGCACGCATGCGGCATCGCTCTACCAGAACGAGTTCGCCATATTGCGGCTCTCGGCATGTCGTTCTCGTGAAGGAAGCGCATCCCAGAGTGTCACAAACGATCCTACGTTCTCGAACAGCGCGGCATGCGTCGCGCGAGCCACGCGTCAACCCTCTTCCAAAGCCAAAAGCAATATAACCACTCGCCTACCCAAGTCCTGCAAACGACATCAGGAATGGATATACGCGCCGTGACCAAAACAAAGGGTCGCAAGAGCCGAGATGCCGTCAATTTATTGTTAGGTTGGACAAAAGGTGACGCGTTCGGTATGTTGGCGTTCTTGGGAAATGCACGGGCGGATGAATGGGTGGGGGGCCACATGCCAGGCACGAGTTGCGGCAGGGTAAGGCGGCCTGTGTAATTTCCCGGTGCAGGGTCTCAGGGGCGACCCGACTTGAACGGTGGTTCGTGTGCGAGGATCAGGGTAAAGAAGGAAAGATTGTCAAGACGTCAGTTCATGGGAGGTTTTGAAGACGGCGATGGTGGGTGAGGTTACACCGCAGTTTATAGAAGCGAATGATGTGAAGTTACGATCAAATGCATTGATGGTAAAATATGTACAGAAGGGTATCAGGTAGACAGTCAAGTCGTAAAGTAAAGGTGGAAATCATGTCATTAAGATAGCCAACTCTTCTCAGAACAGGCAAAGAGTCTAGGAACAAAAAAGACCACCGGGGACCACACGACTCCCTCCATAGGGCCAGTAAGCATTCCAACCAAGGCGTATTACAATACCAAGTATATCGATCCATCGAAATGCCGCTGCGACTTGATTGCGCAAGGAAGCAAAGGGCTCGTACCACCAACACCGCGCTCCCAATCCTAGACTGAATCGTGATGCAGAGTCGAAGTCGTAACCCGTGAAGCCATGTTTTATTTCCTCCTCTTTCCACAACTCGAGAAGAGACTAGCTAGGTCATGGAAGACCATGACCCGACGAATCACTCAAGAGCGAACCGCTTACAAGAAAGCAGCGAGGGCACCAGCGATGGCGAAGAAGCCAACGGAGACCTTGCCGGCGGCACCGGTGAACTCAGCGGGCTTGGAAGCGCTGGGCATAGCACCAGTGCCAGTAGGAGCAGCAGTTCCGGCAGGGACGTGGGGAACGGTGCCGTTGGAGGAGGGGTAGATGGGAGAAACCGGGGTGTAGGCAGGCGCAGTGTGCTCAGCAGCCGGGACGGAAGCAGAGGTGACAGTGGGCATGGGGACAGCCGGGATCTCGGGGGTAGGGGTGTGGACGTAGGTAGCAGTGTACTCAGGGATGCTGAGGGTGGTGCTGGAGGAGATGGTGTAGGTGGAGACACCGTAGGTGATGGTGGTGGGCTCAGGGCAGACGTAGCTGGTGGCGTGGACAACCTCGGTGGTGGTGTAGGCGGGCTTGGAGGCAGAGTAGACGGGAGCCATGGAGCTGGCCTCGTAGGCGGGCTTGGAAGCCTCCATGGAAGCGGAGGGGGTCTCAGCGGGGTAAGACGGGTACTCAGCAGCGGAGGAGGTAGCGGCCTCGTAGGCGGGCATGGAGCTGGAGGCCTCGGGGGTCTCAGCAGGGTAGGCGGGGTACTCAGCAGCGGCGGAGGAAGAGGCCGGGGCAGCAGGGTAAGCCTCGTAAGCCTGGGGAGCGGCAAGGGCAACGGCGGCGAAGCCAGCAATGACGGCGAAGGAACGCATCTTGATGTTTGGTTTGGGGGGGTGGTATTAAAATACGGAAGGTATTAAGTTGTAAGGCGTTGGAGGTCGTTGAAAACGAGTGTGATCGGTGATAACCGTGTATTAGTGAGTGTAGTGAGTGTGTGGTGAGGAATCAACTGAGGAGCAGCTGGCGAAGCCATTATATACAACTATACACGAGCTGGCCTTACCAAGAGCGCCAGCGTCCATGAACAGGGGGCATTGGCGTAGTTGCATTCGGTTGGCAGTATCGCGAGGGCTCTGGCGTGCCGGGGGCGCCGTTTGGTGGACTGTGCCTGGCATAGTACGAAATAGGGGAACCTGTGGAAAGCTTCGACATGGGCCGTTGTGAGCTGTTTATTGATGGAAGTCGAGCGGGCCAATCAAAAGGTGGATTGCGTGCAGAAACGAAATGAGGTTGACAATTTCCCCTGCCAAGGGGCCTTGCCGCCCCAACACATCGCCCGTCGTTCTAGCTGCTTTTGCCGCAAGCGTTCGATTTGTGCACGCGGAACATGTTCAATCGCCCGGTAGGTACCTATCTCCGGTTCGTGATCCGCACCTGCATGTCAGCTCTGAGCAGAGAAGAAGCCGCGCGACTGTATCGAGGTGTAAGACACACTGGCAGCTGGCATTGGCGCCGAGCCGCTGACTGTGACAAAGAACACCTGAACAGAGCGACGATTAGGGGCTCCTTGCCAGAGGCACTGGAATCCCGATCAGAGTGGAGATGGGTAATCGTGACAACATCTGGAGCAATCCCCGCGTCTGAGCAAAAATAGCTTCGCTGATAGGAGAAGGGCCAGATTGGACCGGTCTGATGCTGGCGAGGTCGTTGGTTCACGATGGACTGGGGACGTGCGGGTTCCTGCATTGCCCTTGCATCTAGACCTCGACTAGATCCAGCGAAGGGCCGACAGCCCGTCCAGTGTTGCGAACTATTGTAGCCATCGAGATGTAGCGGAAAGCTGTTGCCGGAGCTGCTGTGATCCTCAAGGCTGGCCGGCTCTCAGCTCTGTCTCAGCTCTTGTCATACGGGGGCTCTTCTTGCGAGAGTCATCCACCCACAGCATTCCTTGTAACATTGGAAGCGCAATCTCGCATCTGGCATTCCTCAGGAGAGGCGCATGAGCTTAGTGAGCGCCACAATGGTAGTCGCATGTCACGCATTAAGCGCGGCACCTACTTGGGCGCAGGTGTTTCGTCGGAGAACGAATGACGCGCTGCTCAACACGAAGAAATCCGATCCTTCCGCGTTATCATATCCCACAAATAGTGATCATTTCCGCGCAGAGCTAGAGGACGTCGCGTCGATAAAGGGCGAGGCGTAGTGTGGTGTTAGTGAGTGCTACGGTGAGCGAGAGTGGGTGTTCCTGTCGCTTCTAGCCCGTCCCGCCGAAGTGTTGCCGGTCGGGCAAGAGCCCCTCGGTACCACACTGCCTTTGACTTTGCTAACACAACACCTTCACCTCAACACCTCGACACACAATCCCGTACTATGCATTCCCGGAAGGCACAATAGACAGAGATTCCACATCTTTGTTGCGAGCTTCTCACACTTTTTCGAGAGGGACTAAGCTTGTCGTCTCGACCCACGCGAAGGAACGACTGCCTGCCTGGATTAGATGAAAGCTGCGCAACTCTATCAAATTCGATAGCAAGATGCCAAAATCATCAGGCGCTGTGCCGAAGGGGTGGGATGGGCAAACCATCTACCTTCACGCATCTTCATATTCCAAGAAGCTTTGCAGAGACAAAGTTAGCGCACTTATATTGCCAAAGTCCGATCTACCACCCGATACACAGGTTTACAAGCCGAATGGGCCGTACTCGAACGTCAAGATCACACCCGTCACGGACTCTGCGCATCCTGCACACGGACAGCACGCGCTTTATGCTAACCAGCATCTGCCACCAGACTCGTTCATTCTGCCATACTTGGGCTATGTGCACGATCAGACTGACATTGACGAAGCATCCGACTACGACCTCTCACTCGACCGCGAACTAGGCATCGGCGTTGATGCATCCAAGATGGGCAACGAAGCACGCTTTATCAACGACTACCGAGGCGTCGCTGCCGCACCGAGCGCCGAGTTTCGCGACATACTTGTAGACATTGGGAACGGGAAGGTGGAGAAGAGAGTTGGAGTCTTCGTGCTCAGCGCTGGCAAAAGCGGAAAGAGAGCGAAGGGCATCGGACGTGGACAAGAGATCCTCGTCAGCTACGGCAAGGGCTTCTGGTCAGATCGACACTCTACCGAAGAGTGACACGCCTGTACCACACCGCTCTCATGTCTCGCAACATGTCGCATCACTTTCATGTACATCCGCCGAATGCCGGTATACGTTTGCTTTTCGGTCAATCCCTTCTGCAGCGACCGGGCGTCGATTGACGACTCCGTATGATCTGCGCGGTCAGGCCCTCGATCTTCTAAGACCAACCCCGACCAGGCAGTAAGGTATTTGTGCCGTACGCGTATCATGCGGAGTATGTTGCTGCCTAATGTCACGCTGCAGAAGACGTTACAGTGCATGCTTATAAGCTTATTAATTACTAGTCTACTAATCTAATTCTCCTTATTATTCTACTCTTAAACTTTAACTAAAATATATCTTACTTAATTCTTAAACTCTTTCTAACTTTAGCTTCTAATATTAATAAGAAAGTTATTATTACTAGTAGTAGTAGTTTAAGTAAGAACTCTCTTATAAAGTTATTTAAAAGTGTTATATTTACTTTAAGTAAAGAATTTAATATTAGTACTAAAGCTTATATTACTATAAATAAAATTAGCTACTACTATAAAGTAAAAATTTACTTATAAATTTACTTTTTTAAAGTAATTATAAGTAGCTTTAAAAAGTATAGTAAAGTTAGTAAACTTCTACTACTTAATATAAAAGTTATTAATAAAATAAGTAGTATATATTAAATAACTAAAGTATACTTATAATATTAAGCCTACTTATTAAAAGATAAAAGTAGAAGTAGTTACTATCTTAAAGTGCGTAAATAAAGATAAGTAAAAAAATTAATATATAAGTATAAAAATTTTATATACTTATCTTTTCTAAGTATTAAAGTAGTATATAACTATAATATTATACTTTAGTTATTAAGTTAAGATTTTTCTAAGTTTCTATAGTTAAGAAATACTAAAGTCTAAGGCTTACTTCAGACACGTGAAAGGAGTATGTCGCTCCGACATGACGCTACTCGAGGACATGCGAATACCTGAATGTTGGGTGTAATTCGCGGCGCGCCAGGGCGACGATAAGCCAAGGTCTTGTTCCCGCTGTCCATGATTAGGCGGTATCGTCCATAATGAACACGAATCCCACGAGCCTTTGTCACCAACGTGGCACTCCAGCGTGACACTTCCTTGCCGCGTGAAGGATCAAGGGTCTGTTCTGGAAGCCTTGTCGTGGAACCTTTACGGGGTTCTGATACGCTAGAAACGACGATCGAATTTCGAACAGCCCTGTTATGCCCATGGTTGGGGTTTGAGGCTTGCACAGGGACGTCACACCCAAGCCGAAACCCGGATACACGTGGGACTGAGCCACTAATGTGGCGTCGAAACCTGATTTTTTCCTGCTAAGCCTGACTTTTGGCCTCTAGACACGTTGAGGGGAATCGAAAGCAGTCAGATGCAGCGCCTAATCATCATTTGGGATGTCTCCAAAAAAGCCACATGTGTGGTAGTGCTGCACTGTGAAGCCGCCCGAGCAGCAAAGTTGCCCAATGTCAACACCATGCAAAAGTGACGTCGCGGGATGTCTCCGCGCCGCCTCGGCCTGCGCCGAATTGACTCAGACATAATTTTGGATCACGCGAAACGTCATACTGTGTCACCATGGCATTTCTGGCAGCATCATGGCATTGTGATGGAGGGCAGAGAATTCGCATTACCCACAAGTTACCCACAAGTGAAGGGTAAGAGTCTGCAGGCAAAATTACTCACGATAATGCAGGTACCATGTGCCATCGACTGCTTCAAGACCTTTCATGTGCGATCCTGTTACTGGATCACGATCCTGCGCCATGGCCCTACATTCAGGTTCTCACAAGTGACGTTATGTCGCTTAGTTTACCTTTCGGGGAAGCAGGAGGATCAGCAAGGGGGCTGACTCCGCCAATCACAGCTAGACTACCCCCCAACCCCTGGCTATCCCAACAGGGTTCTGCGAAACGGGCCCCGTTACTCAAAGGCGTCTCGACACAGTGACCGCGGAAGGACGGATTCAGCCGCGCTGTGTTTCGGTGCAGGTGTGTTAATCGCACGTCATGGCCTATTCCGGGAATGTGAATGCGCGGCCCCATCACAAACCGTTTAAGTTGCGAGCAAATCCCCAGACTCAGGAGACCGCATTTGCGAATCCGTCAAACTCTGGAATATTCTGTCGACATCACCGGCCTCGATACTTAAGCGTCAACTATCACCGAGTCGTCGCGGCAGCATCACCTTATCACCATCACTCCACTCTGGTCCACCACCAAGAACTTTTTCGTACCCACACTTCTGGGGCTCCGCCGATCTCCTAGCACCAACGCTCTTGGCATTGTCAACTGGTATTTCTATCAGTAACCCGACAACCCCACATCAGCAGGAATCAAATCTCCCTCCACGTTAAACGATACGAACACCAAGCAACACCATATCAGACTACACCATGGCTCCCATGTCGCGACCCACTTTATGTAGAGTGAGTTCCTCCGAAGTGCTTCCTTTCTTTACACATACTAACATGGTCATCTAGAACGAGTCGATGCAGAAGTACATGCTCCTCTCCGCCCAAAAGGAAGCTCTCCAACGCCGCATGGCCATGGAGATTCCATTCAACGCCCCCATGGCAGCATCGTCGCCAGAGTTTCAGTCTCTCTCATCTTCGCCCGAGTCCTCACCCAAGTACTCCACGCCCTTCCCCGCAGCCAGTGACCCCGTCGCCGTCAGCTCCAGGACCAGCTCCACTCCGCGCAACAGTGTCGACGACATGCACACGGAAGAATCCCACAAGCTCGCCGTGATCAACCAACAAATCGTCGCTACCCTCACCGAGCTCATGAACACAGAATGCATCCGCAACGACGAGAAGCAGCGCGCCTGGGTCCAAGGCCGCCTCATGGAAGCCGAGCACCAAATACGTCGCGAGCGCCGCCGTCACTCTTCCAACGCTGGCGGCGACTTTGCCGACGCCATCGCACAGCATCTCGAGCTCGGTCTCAACACTTCCAAGACGTGGGCTTAGGCCTATGCTTTGACGCACGTCCGCACCATGTAAGGTTTCTCATGGTGCAATGACGTGAGGGTTACGAGGATCACGATCGCGATTTTGCTCTCTTGTGTTTACGAGCGGCGTTTGCTTTTTTTGGACAGGCAATTGGCGCAACGGTTCTGAAATGAAGTGCTCAAATCAGAAAAACAGATACCCCCTCTTTGATGCAATCGTTGCATCAAGTCGATGGAACTGCTAGGTTCCCGACTAGAACTCTGTACAGTTAGTTTTACGAAATCATGATCACTTTATCACGCATCATCACTGTCATTGCTGTCATCGCTGTTGTTCATCCCGTCCCGTGTCGCGTGCTTTGACGACGTAATATTTGCCGTTCACGTAATGCTTCTTGTGCACTTTGTTTTATCATCCCGAAATAAACCTTCGTAAGCGTACCGGGGCGTTTGGCCGGTAGAGCCTTTCCCGTCCAATTGGAACATTTGGCGGCGTACTGGCGCGCGGTCCCTGCATCCCCATGGTTCTTTCGCGCAGCGTGCTTTTTCGTGGGTTCTCTCTCCGCACCGCAACGCTGACGCGCGATCGCTCTGTTTAATAATCTCGATGACTTCAAACCACGTCTTTCCAACGTTGTAAAGCGGGGATATCCTTTGCTTCTGCTTCCCGGCCCTTCGGATGATGTCTAGATAGCGATAGCGATAACGTTCGCGACAACGTGGATGCCACACCTCAACCACGTTCCTCCTCCATGCTTCCACCAAACAACGTGCTCATGACGTCATCCACCGCTTTTCCCCCACAAACGCAATAAGCAACTCCACACGCGACACACCCACCAAAACGCATCGCATCGCTCTACAAACACCCAAACGGTGGTTCAAAGCCGTTCATACTTCCCAACAGAATCAGGCGTCGAATGGATGGCGGTTCGATCTCGCTTTAGATAGCGTGCAGGTGTGTTATCGGTCCGTATGCATGCGGTATGGGATCGGCGGTGCAGCAGCAGGCTTGCGAATGCTTTGCTTGGGCTGTTTACCCCTCATTTTTGGGAGGGAGCTGTTGAAGGTAAGGTCTAGATGCGGGGCTGTTGTGAGGGTCTAGACGTGACGTGATAGTGAAATGGTGTGGTGGTGTGATGTGGTATGCTGTGGGATGAGGTTGGAGGAACGTTCTGGAGCTGGAGGCATACTTGACGGGATTTGGAGGGTTGTGCGAACAGAGATGAAGCTTCCCTTTCGAATAGCAACAGCTGTCCGATCTGCGCTGCGCGAGAGCTGCGCTTCGACAAACGGCTCTCCCATATAGTAGTATAACCCGTTGCTTGTTAGCGAAACTCGATTATGCCATCCTGTTCTGAAGTGCGGCATCGGGCGTTCGGATGAATGATAGGCCGGAAGTACCTGCCTGCTGAGATGCGCCTCCCTTGGCGTAGGCAGCAATGAGCGCGGGGTCTGTAACACATCACTCTCTTCGCAGCCTTCTCAGTCACAAACCGACTTGCTACCCTACGGATACCACTATGAACTAGACCGCAGCACCTGGTTTAGTTCTGTTCCGCAAATCACCGACTATCGTGGATATGGAGGAGACGTTTGAACTTGCTCCATTGAACTCTCGAGAATCACCGGACGTGGACGCTTTGTACTGCGAAGAGTGCTTACGTGTGGATCGATCCTTCAACGACATTCCGAATGCAGCGCCCATATACGATCAACGCTACTTGCGTCTTTCGTTGAAAGCTGATACAGCCAACATCAAGCCAGACACGACCTGCCCATCATGCAGAGATTTTGTCAATCTACTCGACAAAGTGGGCCCCGATGCGCAGTACTTTGAGCTTATAATCAGAGGGAACTACTTCTCTGGGCCTAATCCGAGAGAAATATGGTCAGCAAGAGTTCATACGTCAACAATAATGTCCAGCAGCCTATTTAACCACAGCTACCTGCTACGGCGCTCGGACTACCCTACGCAGCTTCGAAACGATTCGGCCACTTACACTAAGGGAAAAGATCTCCCCATGAAACCTATCAAATCGTGGCTGCATACATGCGAGCGCGAATATGAAGGCTGTCGGTCTAATCCCGCCAACGAACTGGACATGCCGCTCTACTTGATCGATGTACTCGAGGAATGTATCACTCTCAAGCCGGTCTTCAATGTGCGCTATATAGCTCTAAGCTACGTTTGGGGCAACGTAAAGTCCACCAACTTAACTTCTGGAAACATGGAGGAGCTTCAAAAATCTGGAAGCCTGTCATCCGGATCTCATGTCGTTACTGTTCCGCAGACTGTTAGAGATGCTATGCGTCTCACCGCGGACTTGGACATCCGCTATCTATGGGTGGACTGTCTCTGCTTGATCCAGAACGATCCCAATCTCTCCTTCTATCTGGACCGAATGCATCTGATTTATGCCAACGCATTCCTGACCATTGTGGTGGCAAACAAGGACAACGCGAACGGCGGCATCACCGGCTACGATACCCGTTCGATTGGCCGCATTTTACCTGGTAAAGTCATAAACTATCCAAACTACGTGTTTGGCATGTTTAAAAAGACTGGACGGGCAGATCCAGCTGCCGTACCATGGTGTTCGCGAGCTTGGACACTACAAGAAGGCTTTTTTTCTCGACGGGTGCTAGTAATCGACGATCGCATCTGTATCGGATGTATGGGTGAATGTTGGGAAGAAGGTTCAAGCTTTGGCTTCAAGATCAGATCCAATTTGTCAGACAACATGCGAGTCCTTCTGCCAACCCTTTGTCAAGGCTCGCTGGATGGTGGCGTGCCAGATCAGGTACTTTCGGAAAGAGAAGTATTGCCAGCACTAGAGCCTGATCCGGAACCAAACTGGTACAACTATTCGCGAGCGGCATCGAGTTTCGCTTCTCGCGCATTATCATACGATCAAGATTCTATCAAAGCATTCTTAGGAGTCATCAACTTCTATAAGAGCCTAGATCATCCTCAGTGTGCAGTTACCACGAGATTGCTATATGGTCACCCAATATGTAAACTCTCACGCGCACTTTTGTGGAGCTCGGGAATGGCCATGTTGGAGAGGAGAATGTTGCTACGCCAAGATGGGTCATTTGTCATGCCCAGCTGGTCGTGGATGGCCTGGCGACATGATTGTCAAACAACTGGCAGCACACCTCTCGGCGTGAGGTGGCCTAATGGTAGACTTGGTGTCAGAGAGCTTCAAGTACCCATCGTCATCTATGCACAATGCGGTATTTGTCTGCAGACTCACCAGATGACTGGCGAGAAATGCAAGAAAAAGGCGTCTCCGGAGCGAGTTGAACCGGAATACCTTGACCCATACCTGTATATCAAAGCACAAAGAGCGCAGTTTGGTGCATCATCTTACGTACCAGAGAGCAATGTGGCGATAAGATATCTGTTAACGTTGGGCACTATAAATAGCACAGGGAACATCATCTCAGGCGAGATAACCTTCGACCACTGGCCTCCGCAATCATCCTGGCGCGAAGCTGGCGCGTTGCATTTCATCGGTATCTACTATTACGAAGTTGTTGACCATGTCAAATGGATTGGGAGCTACCAAGTTGAGGCGCTTTGTGTCACACCAGTCAACGGTAGACCAGGCGTGTTCGAGAGACTGGGTGTAGCTAGGATCTTCAAGGACGCATGGGATCGGACTGCTCAGTTCGATGAGAACATCATACTAGGATAGTGTATGAAGTATCAATGGCTCGCGATACGGAGCAGCACGCAATTTCAAAGCATGAAAATCAGCTATGACTGTCGATAAATTTACCCTATCCACAAGGAAGTGACAGTATGACAGGACAGCCTAACCCTCCTGGATGTAGATAGAAATGGAACACTGGCAAGATTCGCAGCTGTAAATCCCCAAAAGACCCTAGCAAAGAGCAGCCAAGACCATCGTGGATGAAAGTTGACTTGCGCGCTCTGCAACGGTTTTTGCCATAGTTTGCGTAAATCTAGCCTGTCGACAGCTGTTGCAGTGTCATGATTGATCCTACAATGCTGCAGTTGATCGCGCCTCATGGCACGTTCGACTGCCCAGGCGAAGTTACGCCATGTCCATTGTACGCATTGCCGAAGTCGCTCTCGTGCATTGCATCGAACCACGAGTGGTCAGTGAGGTCGGTTCCTTCCAGCGATGTATTGTATGTTCCTCCATCGAATTGGGTAGCGGAGGGAGTTGTGAAAACAGGCACGGGCCTGTTGCTCTCAGGGACAAGCGCATCGTTATTGCGACTCGATACCATGCTGAACTGCCGATCAATCGCTGTACTGGGCGAGCCGGTATCGCTGGGGGTGGCTTTCATCAGCGCACTGGAAGATACATCGAGTGACACTAGGGCTCTTTCGAGAAAGTCTGCCGATTTGCTCGAGAGGCGTATGATCCATCTATACTGGTCTAGATGAGCTCGGTATCTGGCTGCCTCTTCGCTACTAGGAGATGTCACCCAAAGGAGCGAGATGAAAGAGCCAATGAGTGTAAAGTTGTAGGTGGACGATGAATACCAAAAGGATTGGAAGTGTTCAGGTCGGAGAGATTGCACGAAGCTCATGGCAGATGTGAGTCGGATCTGTGCTGCTTGTCGGCATATGGTGTGGAGTTCGAGGTCGTCTACTGGAGACAATGAGCGGATGATGCGTCGGTGGAGCGTTATTTCGACTGCGTAGTACCCAAGGTGAAGATAGCCGACGCTGGAGAGCTTTCTCGCAGCTATGTCCTGCACTTTCAGCGCAGCTGGCATGTTGGCATACCATTGGCGTAAGGTAAGCTGCAAAGGTTTTGCTGGATTAAGCAGCGATCGCACGCCTTCGTGCGCACGGCTGGCGAAGTCGCGCTCTGCCTTTAGCGTATAGAAAGTCGATAGTATCTGCGCCAAGATCTGTGTAAGCTCTACCATATAGCAGAACAAGATCCGTCCTTTCTCCACTTCAGTACTCCCATCTTCGTCATCCTCATCAGCGGCGCTCTCTGGGAAGTCGTCGACAGTCAAAGGCTGTACATCCCAATCCATCGGCGTAATGTGCGAGGGGCGACCGTGCACCAGCGCACCCCATTTATCCTGCATGAATACAGCCCATGCCAAACGTTTGCGAAGGCCACACTCCCAGGCTGGGATATGCCACGTCGTGCAGTCAAGTTGAAGTCCCATATCCTGCGCTAGCCCAACCAGTTGACATGTCAGCGCCCAGCTGTTGCCCTCTGGTCGCTGAAGAAGCAGCAACCCTGCCTGAATAGTCGAAAGCTTAGGCCTGTGGATGATGTTGCTAAAAGATCTCATCGTGAGTGACTCTAAATGCGAAACGTCTGGCTTCGACTGCAGTGCTAGCTCGCTGGAATACGTCCACCAGTTGAGGGCCAGGAGATAAACGGCCGCCAATAGCGGCGGCGAGAACTCTCGATGAGTCCGCTCATATTTCTCAAGGAACACTTTCTTGTGCAGAATCGGGAAGCTAGGATGTACGATCCGAAAGAAGAGACGTATCAACGCGGGGCCATGTGGTGCTACGGCTATCTCGATAGCGTCGAGATCCGGAATGTCGCCTTGACTGTTGAGCGTGCCGGCATCGAGTGATGAGACGAATGTCGTTGCATGGGCGTCATCTACTTTTCGTAGCTTTGGATGGCCAGCCAAAGCATCAGCACCGCCAGCGGATTGAACTGGCTCAAGTGCCAATAAAAGACGTTCGTACTCCGAAGTTGAGCCGACAAGACGACTGTGCCTGTTGGTTTGCAGGCCCAACGTCTTCTTCAGGAGCGAAGGACCGTGTAGATTTGCGTAGTCATCAATTGGCGGATCCTGTCGGATTTTGGCAGTAGTATCCTGAGGTGATGTAGATTGGGCAGTGTTGTTCCTGTAGTCGTTTGCAAGAGGTAGTTGGCCACGGGAGGTTTCAGTAGGCTCAGAGACTTCGTTGGCAGCCACGGCACGCCTCTTCCGTGGTAGCGGGTTTTCGTTGAAGGTGCATTCTTGATCATGGAATTGACAAAGAACGCATGGTGGTCCGCTGTCTGATATTTCGCATCGTGACTTCCGGCGCCGACAGGGATCGCATGGACGTCGCGATTTTGGCTTCGTAGTGTGGACGTTGGGCATACGCGGGAAGTGGTAGTTTGGCGGCGAGTTCTCACCAGGCGTAAAGTTCATGCTTGCATCTCAGCACGCAGTATATGTCCGTCTCAGTAGCAGACGGATAACCTCAGTATGTTGTTGATGAAATCGCGATACGTGGAACGCGTCCGCGTGACGACTTCGCGAGATGGCTGACGATGATGATTTTTACATGAATGCATAGCATCACACTGCCATTCCTGCTTGACGCCAGTTGAACATTGCTACAAGTTCATTGATGTCGCTGATGACGTGGATGCCATGTGCGCTGAGTTGGTCCACCGGCAGGGAGGTTGGGGGACGAAGAGCACATGGGGCGAGAGACAGCCGAGGTGGCCCAGCCCGTGGAAGCACAGACCAAGCGGAAATTAATCAGCGGCATCACGAAAAGAACACGAGAGCTTCGCATCTCAATCGCGACATCATCTGTAGAAGGCAGAGGAAAACATTACTGGGTTCGGATTGAAATCCTTAGTGCGATGTCGGCTAAGCCATATTGGCCATCTCCTTCTCCTTCGCCACAAGAGTTTCCTTATTCGACAATTCCTCGCCCTCAAGAACCGGCGCGACCACCTCACCTTTTTGCGGCGGATACACCGCGCAATTTACCAACGATTCTGTCGCCGGCGAAATATATGTACATACAACGTAGTGCGTAAACAGCGAAAGGAAGAACCCAAAGATCCACGCAAACGTATAGACTTTCCATGCGCCACCGATGTCCAGATCATTGTCGATGCTCTTAGCAAAACCCGGGAGGAGGGGAGCGAATCCTACAACGAAGGACACATATGCCCTCCAGTTCCAGCCTCCATTGTACCAGTATATACCGCGATGCGTGTAGAGCTGATCCACATCCAGTTTGCATTTCTTGACGAGGTAGTAGTCGCTGACCATAGTACCTGCGAGAGGACCCATCAGGCATGAGTAACCGCTCAAGAACGAGAGCAGACCCGACGCGTTCTTGATGATGTTCCACGGCGTGGATACGATACAAAACACGGAGATGATGATCGTAGCTCGGAAGATGTTGATGTACTTTGGTAGCATGCCAGCTACATCGTTCGCGAACGGGTAGGTATCTGCTGCGATCTGGTTGCCGATCGTCGCGAGGAGAAAGCTGGCGGATACGAAGAACTTCGCAGCTCGCGAATCAAACTTGGCGATGACGGTTGGCATATACCACTCGAACTCGCCCCACAGGTACGAATGGGCATCGGTGACAAAGATCGGTGTGAGTGCGCCCAATGTTCCGATGATGGGGAGGGCGAGGAACTGATGGTAGCCAGCGAGCTGATTCTTGGAGAACCTGCCGAAGTCGGGCATGTTGACCGCCAAAGAGGAGAAAAGTCCGACCACGGCGTTGAGACCGGTGAGTACTGAGTAGGTGGTGTTCATGTAGGATGAAGTAATCTCCACCTTTCCTTTGATGAGCGGACCGCCACTGCATCTTCAGTCAGCATCGTTCATCGCTGCGGGCTTTCACAGACCACTCACCCTTTCGTCACTATGACTGCCCAAAGAAAGAGAGCGAAGAACGTTGGCGGCACGACGATACCCTTGATCCAGAAGAGGACGCGCAACTTTGAGATAGGCATGAGGGCGAGTGCAGTCTGCAGGAACCAGTACAAGAACAGGCATAGCAATCCGGCCGCTGCAAGACTATTAGTAACACCCCGGAATGATTCAAGAATAATGGGTCTTACAGTCTATCCCAGCGCTCTCCGGTAGATGATTCGGAAACGTAGTAAAGCTTGGCCAGATCGCCTCAAGGCAGCGTTGCAGGAAGTTGCTCGCCTGGACTGTGAGAATCGCAGCCCACATCATGGCGACAAAAGCTCGAATACAGATCGCCGGGAATGAGCCATACATGCCGAAGACACTTCGAATGATGACGGGGAAGGACACGTTGTATGTGGCTCCCATCTTGCCAGTGAGGGTTATGACAACGCTGCATATGGCAAAGCCGAAGAAGACGATTGGAATTGTCTCTCTCGCCGTGAAACCCAGAGCCATGACACTGCTCACGGTGGACGCCAGAGGAGGTGCGAGCATGTCCGAGCACCAGTACGCCCAGTAATCGAGGCCACCCCAGGTCCGCTGCTCTGGTGGCACTGGATCAAGATCTAGTGTTCACGCGAAGATTAGCCCAATGTTATCGCACATGAATGCCTTCCAGATATATACCTTTGTTCGACCAGCGCGAGCCATACTTGCCGCTTTCGAAAGGTACCCTCAGATGAAGATGAGGTGCAAGCCTCGCTTTGAGCACAGACATGGTTGAAGACAGTACGGTGAAGTCGAAAAAAATTGAATGCGAAAAAACCGTATCCAACCTTTATCAACTTCTAGAGTCTTGGTTTTCGTGCCGTGATAGCTACGTGCATTCCCATATCAAGATAGTCTCCAGCTTGATAACCATTTCGGCTCCTGGCTCGGAGATAGTCGCTGATGACATGGCGGGGTGCATGCGGAGACGAACATGGTTCGGCATCATTATCAAGGCAAGTATCAGCCACAAATTGGATGTGTCGACGGGGATGAAGGAGCGTTGGGCGCTGGGCATGATGGAGATTGCTCATCGGAGAGCTGAGCTAGACCGATCTGGTGCTAGCGCCACCCGATACCGATAAGACACCAGGGCACCTCCAAATCCCGCCCGTAGGCCCGTAGGCCAGCTGCATACTCCGTTCGCGGCCCGTGTTGGAGTCCCCACGTCCACCCGATGGAGTCGACATCGAACGTAGATATGGCGCGTCGTCGTTTCCTGATGAGCTCCTGTATATGTTGTTTCCCTACATGAGCGTGTCTGCCCATACACAACCCCCCCAACTACCGGACCTCGCATTCACCACAGTGTCGCGAAGATGGCAAACACCTCTCCTAATGGCACGATGCTCTCTTTTGACGCGAAGCCGTATGCGTTTTCCTTCCCTCTGGAGCATACCGCGTTACTCATCATCGACATGCAACGCGACTTCCTTCTCACCAAAGGTTTCGGCGAAATCCAAGGCGGAAACCTGGAGGCGGTCCAAGCATCCATCGCGCCAACGAAGAAGCTATTGGAAGCGTGTCGAGGTGCTGGCATGACTGTCTTCCACACCCGCGAAGGCCACAAACCAGATCTCTCCGACTGCCCATCGTCAAAGTTGATCAGACAAGAAGCTGCGCCGGGCAATACCCAGCACAAACTAGTCATCGGCGACAAGGGTGAACTTGGCCGCCTGCTCACACGAGGAGAATACGGACACGATATCATCGATGAACTGAAGCCAGTTCCCGGGGAGGTTGTCATCGATAAACCCGGCAAAGGCTCGTTCTGGAACACGACTATCCTGCATCAGCTCAAAGCGAGAGCAATTACACATCTCATCGTCTCTGGTGTCACTACGGAGTGTTGCTTTGCTACTACTATCCGAGAAGCGAACGACCGCGGTTTCGAATGTTGTGGTATCGAGGAAGCTACTAGTGGATACAATGATGCTTGCTTCAAGAAGTCAACGCTGGATATGATACATTGGTCGCAGGGCCTGTTCGGATACATCGGTAGCTTGCAGCCGTTACTAGACGCCCTGTCACCGTTGTCAAGTAAAGGGCCAGTCGCCAACTCGACGCCTCCTCAGACACCGCCGGTATTCGATGGCGACCTCACGGTATCCGGCTTGCAGCGAGCTTACAAGAGGGGCTTGTCGCCTGTGACCGTGGTTGAGGCGATCTACGAAAAGATCGAAGCGTACAAGGCGGTAGACCCAGCAGTCTGGATACATTTACAACCACGCGAAGCAGCTCTAGATGCCGCAAGACAGTTGGTATCGACTTACCCCGACCGAAACGCACTTCCACCCCTGTTTGGCGTTCCCTTCAGCGTCAAAGACAGCATCGACATCGCTGGCCTCCCCACCACCACCGCATGTCCACCACTTGCGCACGTACCCTCAACCTCCGCTCCAGTATACGACAAAGTCATCGCCCAAGGCGCCTTGTTCATAGGAAAGGCCAATCTAGACCAGCTCGCAACCGGCCTAGTAGGATGCCGCAGCCCATACGGAATCCCACACTCAGTATACCACAAAGACTACATCAGCGGCGGATCAAGCAGTGGCAGCACAGTCTCAGTGGGAGCGAATCTCGTCTCCTTCTCACTCGCAACCGACACGGCCGGGTCAGGCAGAGTACCCGCTGGCTTCAACGGCATCGTCGGATACAAGCCTACACGAGGAACGATCTCCTTCCAAGGTATCACACCAGCATGTCTATCGCTAGACTGCATCGCGCTCTCCACAAAAACCGTATCCGACGCGCGAACCCTCTGGCAAATACTAGAAGGTCACGACTCCCTCGACCCATACGCGAAACCAGAGATGGGCTTCGAACGCCACATCAACAGCATCGGCCCCCAATCACGCACGTTCAAATTCGGCATTCCACCGCCCGAAGCACTCGCTATCTGCTCACCACCAGCCCGTCGCATGTTCAACGAAACGATCTCAAGACTACAAGCCATCGGCGGCGTCCTCACACCAATCGACTGGTCGCCCTTCCAAAAAGCCGGCCAACTACTCTACGACGGTACCTTCGTTTCCGAGCGCCTCGCCTCCCTCCCAGACGACTTCCTCGACAAGAACCGCTCAGCCCTCCACCCCGTAACCGCACAACTCATGGACGCAGTCGTCGCGCGGAAGAGTTCAGCCGTAGACGCCTACCGCGACCTGCAGGCCCAAGCCCTGTACACCCGACAAGCAGAAAAGGTCTTCGCATACTCCGCATCCGGTGTCGATGTCGTTGTTGTACCGACTACGCCTACGCACTGGCGCATAGATGAGGTGTTGGCGGATCCGATTAAGAAGAATAGTATTCTGGGCGAGTTTACGCATTGTGGGAATGTGTTGGATCTTTGTGGTGTGGCGGTGCCGGCGGGGATGTATCCGGTTAAGGAGCTGAGTGGGAAGGAGGGGGATGAGGGGGTGTTGCCGTTTAGTGTTACGTTTTTGGGGGGGTCGAGGTTGGATGCTGAGGTTTTGGAGGTTGCGAGGCGG